TGGCATGACTAGCTGAAAAGATACTTTTGTGAGCTTTTTAGTAACTGTTAGCTTTAAGTGACTGAAAAGATTTAAAAAAAGGTAATAGTTGTTTGGTAAAAAACCGACTGTTTGATATATTATGTTTGGTATACAAGCTTTTAGGACAAATTAATACTAAAAGTCATGGTCTTTTCTCAGATGCTACTCCCCGTGGCATCTCAAAAAAGATCTTTTATTTTTTGAAAAGCTCTTAAAATATTTCTTTCCAAACATACAACTAAAAGCTATTAGAGACATTTTAAACAGTACAAAAGCTAGAAGGTAGAGACTTATGTCTGCCAAACATATATGCACGTAAACGTATATTTTTCATTTCCATTTATGTATGTATTTGAGTTATATAATACTTTTACTATAAAAATGTTCTTAGTAATTGCACTATCAGAATTCCACACAAAAATGTTATGAGAAAATAGATACCCTGACTTCAAATATCTTCATTTTATAAGACATATTCTACGCTATTTCCGAAATACTACTCCCTCCGTCCCCCAATTAAGTTACCACTTTCCTTTTTGGGCAGTCCCTAAATTAAGTTCACACTTCCTTACTTTCCTTATTTGGCAAATTATCTACATTAAAACAGTGTCAAACAATACAAAACAGTGTCAAACAGTGTTTGAACAGTGCAAAACAGTGCACTCCATAGTAAAGTCAAATTTATTTTGTTAATACGTGTGAACTCAAACCGGGAACTTAATTGGGGGACAGAGTGAGTATATCTTTTCTAGACGAAACAATTAGAAATGGTAAACAATTAGATGGTTTAAATATAAATACTTAAAGAGTAGACATGGTAGCCTCACTTAAATGAATGCTTATTTTATTTTAGAGAAAATTGCACTTTTTTTCACTTAAGTAGTCACCATTTGGAATCTTGGACCCATGTTTTTGAGATTTAAAATGACACCCCTGAATTGACATATGCGTTGTACGTAAATTTCATATCTATTGTTTATAATTCATCTTGAATTCTAGATTACCAATAAATTCATCGGGTATGACATTTATAACACATTTGTCAATTTGGGGGAAAATTTAGAGTCTAAAAAACACTAGACTGACATTTCAATATTGTTATGACCAATTGACAGATCAAAAGTGCGATTTTTCCTTTATTTTATTTAGCAGCTCATTATCAATAACTCCCTCTTCCCACAACACATTGCTAACTTTATTTATGCAATTCTGCCAAAAATATTCGTCATTTGCATTTAAAGTAATAAATATGTTGTTAAATTATTTCTCTATTTTTGATGGAGTATATGGCCCAGGGACCCCGGCCCACATACTCTTATTACTCTACCAAAGGCCCAACAGGCCCGGAAAGCACAGCAGGCACAAATCACAGCACCCCAAGTAACAGAATGCCCACACGGCCCATGCAGCCGCCTTCGGATCCCTGGTCGAAGGCTCCAAATTCTCGCAGAACAGCTGTTTTAGGCAAACGAAGGCACCGGGGAAAACGGAGAAATTAGTAGCCTTCGACACCTGGAGCCCTCGGCACCATGAGGCCCCCGGTACACAGAGCATTCAGACCGTCATCTACAACCGAAGGCTTCATCCTCGACCGAATCTCCCATCCACATGCGCTGGATCACCGTACCAAGTACAAACGTCGCATCCAACCACCGCATTTAATGCGGCCACATGCGAATGCCAGTGCCACCCGGTTGAGGTGACCCCTCGACCACCAGAATGTTGACACGTGTCCCTATCTAGCATTTATTGCTGCTATAAATAGCACCCCTTTCCCCATTTGTAAACCACGCTGAATTCATACTGAATACTCACTCTCTCTCTTACTTATTTGCTCTGACTTCTCTCTAAGTTACTCCCCGCAGTAACCCCTCGGATAAGCTACCCCCCGGGTACACTATCCATTATTTGGTGCTCTCGTTGAGAGGTCGAACAATCAAGTAAGAAACCCTCCCCTTCACTCAAAACACCTACCAATTAAGATGGGAAGAACCACCCGTGCTCAGTCCAAGAACCTTGAGGACAACAACCTGGCCCTCGGTGTAGTCAATGCCGCAGGAGCCTCTAACAAGGCTCCCGAGGGCGGGGTCATCACTGGTTTAGAACAGGCTGCTGTTGACCTGCGCCTTCAGCTCCAGCATAATGCTCCCGATGCCTTCCTTGGCATCGAAACCCGTAGGAGGGACCGGAGCGAAAATCAAGTGAGCCCTCCGGTTCTCACTATCGACGTACAATCGGCATTCTCTGCCTTCATCCAAACAATCACTCAAAACCCAGGTGCCTTCGGCACTCTGGTGCCCCTTCAACCGCTGTTCTTCTCCCACGTCCACCCCCCTTCGTGAACCCTACCCCTCGGGTGGGGAACAACGAAGGGGTCGTAGCTCAAGACACCGCCTCCCAAGAAGTCCAATCCCGGGACCAACGCGGTGCGAACAAAGAAAGGCCTCGGACCTCAGCCCTCGAGAGGCTCGGAGGAGCGCAAGACCGCCGAGGCGTCCCAAAGACCCCAAGAGAGCGGGGAATCCGTCTCAAGGGCAGACGAGAGGTGTCCCCATCAGGACAAAGGCAAGGCACCACTTCATGCCGATGACGCAAGGCATCAAATCAACCAGGCCCACTCGGCCCGTGTTTGTTTGATGGGGGCGGAGGCCCTCTCGAAGGATCACAGGGACGAGATTATTGCGGCCCTCCAGCACTGGCTTGATGAAATGGAGGCACATCGAACACATACCGCCGTCGCCACCCCTCATGCAGATCCCAAATATGAGGCCATCATGGCCAAAGTGGAGAAGATGCAAAAGAGAATAGTCGAGGGCTCCGTCATCCAACTCCGGACTAGGACGCCTTTTACCCCAAGGCCCAAGGGTATTGGCGGCCCGAATTCTGGAAAAATACCGGGGGCAACCCATCAGGCCCTATGATGGAAAAACAGACCCCAGGAGCATTACAGCCGATATCAAAACAGTATGATGATGGTGGGGGCATTGGACAAATATTTGTGCCGTTGGTTCCTCTTCACCTTAGAGGGACCAGCGTACGAATGGTTCAACCCATTGCACGAAGGCTGCATCGATTCATTGCAAGAACTCGCCCAACGCTTCTTGACGCAGTTTGCAGGAAGGCGTCGGTCAAGAAAACATTTCTCCCAATTGCTGACGGTGAGACAAAGGAAGGAGGAGACCCTTCGGGACTTCTTGGAACGCTGGAGGATGGAGGCGGATAAAGTTGATGGCACTGACGACGTGACCCTCCTGGCCCTCCTTCAAACAGTCCTCCGCCCCGGGAACTTTTCAAGGAGCCTCATCATCGAACATTCCCGCGATTACATAAGTGCCCTACAGCGGGGGGACCGGTACGCCGAGGCCGAGGAGGTGGAAAAATGCCATCACAACCCTGATTAGCAACACCCTCGGCCAGATGACAAGGGCAACCGGGGGCCGGGGGTTCCCCCAAATCAATCCAAAGGTTTGGCACCCCCCAGTGATCGCCCCCGGCATGGCCAAGCCAAACCCGGGGGAGGTTACAAGGGAAACCCGAAGGCTTGGGCCCAGCCCATTCTCTTGGAGCACCCTCGGACGCCCTTGACACACCTCGTCAGTGTCATCCTAGACTTCGCCGAGGAGAGGGGCCTAGTGGAGCGCGACTCTCGTGCACCCCTAGAGGTATATGCCATCAACCCCAATTATCCTTACTGTCAGTTCCATCGCAACCAAGGACACAGTACCGACGATTGCCATCAGCTAAAGACAGCCATTGAGAGGCCCTCCTCCTCAGGTGACCCCTCACTACCAGGGGCCCCCTAAGAAAGCAAACGCTTGGGTCAACCCAAACACCATCCCTCTTGGCGACCCGAAGGGTAAGAAAAGGGAGATTGGAAACCTCGATAAGGAGGAGGAGTACAGCGAGTACCAGGAGAAGAAGCGCCACATCCATATGATCACTGGAGGTAACACAGGGGGGGACTCCACCAGGCATTAGAAGAAGTGGGCTCAATCGCTATACGTGGGGGAAGTCACTCATATGCCCCCGGTAAAGCGGCTGAGGGAGGAGCTGTGACACCGCACCCGAACGTCCTGGAAATTCAAATTTAATTTCAAAGCTTATGTATTGAATTCTCCTATTTTCGAACAATTGTAAACCGATTAAAGTTTTACGGAACGTATGATTTATCATATTACTATTTTGGGCTTATACAATGGTAACGGGCTTCTAAATAATTATTTGGGCCATATCATTGATATTGGGGCCCAATATCCTTCAATAAAGATATACAACCCATCGGTACAATGTAAGAGCGGTCGGGCAGCCCAAATGTTATTTTGGGCCTAACCTGCTAAAAATAGTAATTATTCAAGAATGGCTTCCTAGACCCATTGAAGAGTGACCCACACGGTTGGTAGCACATATATATAGATATATATACATATTAACATCATAAATGAATGATGGAATGATTGGAGAAGAATACAAATGCCTATGGTCTCATCTTTGGCATTATTAGGCTCAATAATGGGAGCAGGGTTTTCTTTTGTAATTGTACATCAAATAAATTATTGGGACCACCCTACACATATTAGAGACCAATAATATGAAGTAGGAGGTTGACTTGATCTGAATAAATTGGGGAGAGTACAAAAGTACATCTTATGACAAAGGACAAAAATGATATAACTCATCTTGCCACTCTTGGATGTATTGGTAGATATTTTGCTCCCAAATTAATTAGGGGACATGATAGTACGCCCCACACCTTCCTAACACCTGCAAAACAGGTAGAATGAGTTAGAACACATAAATGGGGCGGACCTGTTGAGTTGAGAGCTCAAACAATACAAAAGAGAAATAAAAGAGGAGGACCATCCCATTTTGATTGGAATCAAACACCCAACCTTTTATTTTTAGGAGCCACACGTTTAGATAACGTTTTGAGAGCGTCCAGATATCTCCCCCTCACCCCTCATTCGAACTCAAAAGATAAGGGGAAGAGAGGTGCCGCACAAGAGCAAAGAAAGCAAGAGAAAGGAGAACTGTCCGCAGGGAGAACTTCCAATGTGTTGGCCTTCTGGTGAGACTCATATCTCGCGTTATACACATTCCAAAGAGGCGTGAGAGGTGTCCACTGAAAGCTCTCGAAGAGAGGAATCCAATGGCGTGTGGTGTGAAGAAAACGGATCAGGTTAAGGCCTCCAAAGCATCCGAACAGAACGCAACTTCGCAGAATACGTTTTTGGTATTCAAAGTAAGTTCGAATCCAAAACCTTCCTTTCTATTGTCTAAATCATATAAATGATTGAGGAATTATTGTACACTGGTTGAGGTGTATAAAATGTTGTTATAGAGTAACTTTAATTTTTGGAAAGGTTAGATACTAACCTAGACAAAACCTTGAAAGGTTAGGGAGCGAATTCGCCGGAAAACACCCGTTCTAGGGGCTGTTTTCGTGTCTTCAGTTAGGAGTTGAACAAGCACCTTGAAGAGGCTGTTTAACACCTATTTATAATCAAGGAATCAATTCTCAAACCCCCTTGGCCGAAGCTTGAGCATTGGGTTGAGAAGGAACAAATTAAAGCTCATTTGAGGTGAGGATCGACATCTAGTTGCTTACAACTTGTAGGTTAAGCATGAGATTACCTAAATGCCTAAATCATGTTTTTCATGGATCATAATGACTGATTATTGATGAAATATTGATATATTAGATAAGTAATGAAATTGAAAATGATTTGGAAATCATATTGATAAAAATGGAGTTAAATGAACTATTGTGTGAAATAGGCATTTTTACTCATGCGTGAATTATGTAGATACATAAATGATTATTTATGTATTACATTGGATGAATAAGTTGCTGCTACATATTTCTAAATATGTAGGGATTTACAAATTAAATATATGAGTGATGGGAATAATCTTAATAGTATTGGAGTACTAGTTAATGATTGTTTGTAATGGTTAAGAAATTGAATCTAAGGATTTGATTGTGAGTGATATACTTGATTGTGGTTCAAGTGTGTAAATTGTTGTAATGTGATGCTAAGATCATGATGAGGCAGTCCGTAAGGATGTCCCGAAATAGATTATTGATATTGAAATTCTAGGCATACGAGTGCTTAGGAATTGGGGTCTATGCCAATGCAAGGAGATGTACTTGAGCCCGATGCTCTAGAATTGCATTGGGTAGACGTAAGGATTTGGTTCAGCCCATGTAAGGAGATGTACTTGAGCCCGATGCTCTAGAATTGCATGGGTGAACATGACGTCGGAGATTGGTGGAGTAATTGACTTGTGATTGATGTGCATGGTGATGTAGTCGAGTTGGACTCGAGAAATGCAAACATGTGTGTTAGGGTTGAACCCTATGTATTGTCGTGACTAGGGGTCACGGGGTTTGGGTTATGTTTTGCAAATGAACCTTGGGCCATGGGCCGACTACTTGACTTTATATATAAAGTATGTATATTTTGAAAAGGGGTAACTTGGGGTTACGGCCTAGATTATACTATCACCCAATTTGAGGGTCTTGTGTTTGAAATACTTGTTGTATATCTATTAGATGCCATCCACACCAGTACTTTATAACCGTATAGAGTACTGACCCCCTTTCGGGGGGGGCGTCCCACCACCATTTCAGGTTGAGGCTAGAGCTTGCTACCTGTGCTTGTTGATCGGGCGATCATCTCGGAGGGGAAGACTTGGTTCGTGCTTCCTCCATTCTGATTTTAAACATTTTTAAAACATGCTCATGGATATTGTTTTTCTTTATGGAGCCTGCATGCTCGTGTTTGCCCCGTGTGGCACTTGTATCCGAACTATGATTTCCGTTGCGTATTCAACTACTTATTATGTATGTTTATGGATGACTTATGTGTGAATGATATTCGAGACGCCTTGTAAAATATGGATGAGTTGGACTGCGTTTGACTGTTCATATTGTACGGCGGATTGTTGACGTGTCCGGATAGGTCCGGGGCGTGACAATTTAATTGGTATCAGAGCGTTAGTCCATAAACTTCATAATGAAGACTCAAAAAAATCCTCTTTTCCAAATTATTTTGAAAACCATGAGCATAAGTGTTTTGTACTTATAGAACTTTTGGTACTTGAGCTGCAAGGCCTCTATTTTTTTTTTTGGATAAAGGGTAATTATATATTATCCAAAGAGTTTATGTACAAGTACATCCACAAAAAAAAGGGGGAGCAAAAATGGGGCTATCCCAACGAGGGATATGCCAAGACCTGTGGCCTATACTATCAATCCCAAATCAGACAAAATGGGCAAGGAGCCGTACTACACATTATTCAAAACATAATAAGTTCATGAGGGTAGATACTAAAAAGGATCTTATACACCATGTATTGGATCCTAGCAAAAACTTCCTCCTCATGAGCTTTGGCATCATCAAATCTGGTTGCATTCCGCACCCTCCATATCCAGTATATGGTGTAGATAAATGCAATCCGGGCAGCTTTGGCTTTGACTCCAGCTCCCGCATGGTCTTTCTTGATCCACTTCACCGAGCTATCCAGGGTGGTCATCTGCCTAGGCATCCCAATCCATGCTCTCACTTTGCTCCATACCTGTCCTGTAAATTGACAACCAAAGTATAGGTGTGCTACCGTCTCCGGTTCACCCTTACAAAACGGACAGATGTTAATCACCTCAAGCCTACTAAGGTTATCATAAGTTGCTAGGCGATTGCGGAAGGCAAGCCAAGCAATAAATGAAAATTTAGGGGGTATAAAGGCTTTCCAAATGAAAGGCATCCAAACCTGAGTGTTGCTCTTGATTCTAATGAGGTCATAAATTTTAGAGGAGCACAACTTCCCATTAATAACAAGCTTGGAAAGGGCATTAGTTGTGCTCCCAATAGAGTCAAATTTAGAGACCAAAAGGTCTCGGATCTGCCCAAACTTCTTCATAAGTTGGGAGTCCCTAGTGTGTGGGGAGAAGTCCCACACACTTCTACCCTTAAGGTATACCCCATGCACCCACTTTACCCACAAAGTATCACGCTTAAGATGAATGTCCCACAAGGTCTTTGAAAGAAGAGCATTATTCCATGTTTTGGTATTTCTAATGCCCAAGCCCCCCTCCTCTTTTGGAAGGCACATATCAACCCAAGCAACCCTGGAAAATTTGCACCCCCAAAAGAAAATACGGCAAAGTGAAACCACTCTGTCTAGGATGGCCTGTGGTATAGGGAACACCTGTAACCAAAAGGAATGTACCCCCTGAATAACAGATTTGATTAGCTCAGTTCTACCTGCATAGGACAAGGTTTTAGTATTCCATGCATTCAAATAATTTGTAACCTTCTCCAGGAGTGGGGCATATTCGGCCACAGCCAGTTTTAGGGGGGAGAGGGGGATCCCAAGGTATTTAACCGGGAAAGCTCCCACTTTGAAGTCCACCAAATCAAGTATAGCCGTGAGATCATGGTCCCTAACTCCCCCCAAAAAAATGTTTGACTTGTCAAAATTGACCCTTAATCCCGAGACATTACCAAACTCATTTAGAGCATCTATCAAAATCTTAACAGAATAAGTATCCCCTCTACAAAATAACATGAGATCATCAGCATATGCAAGGTGTGAAATCTTAAGGCTACAACATTTAGGGTGGTAGTTAAAACCCGAGGTGGTTTTCAAGTTCATTAATCTAGATAGGTATTCCAAGCATAGGACAAAAAGGAGAGGGGACATAGGATCCCCCTGCCTTAATCCCCTCTTACCTCGGAAGAACCCATGTAGTGTCCCATTGAGGGAGATTGAGAAGGAAGCAGTTGAAACACACTCCATGATCCATTTAACAAATTGCAAAGGAAAACCAATGTTAAGGAGTACACTACTAAGGAAATCCCAAGAGATGGTATCATAGGCTTTCCTAAGGTCAACCTTAATCATACACCTAGGTGAGCAATGTTTCCTAGTGTACCCCTTAACCAGTTCTTGCGCTAAGAAGATGTTATCCATCATAAGTCTACCATTTACAAAAGCCCCCTGTGCATGGTCAACCAAACCGGGTAGACAGGGAATCATTCTATTAGCAATAATCTTTGTGATGACCTTGTAAATAACATTTGTGCAAGCAATAGGTCTAAAATCAGCAGTCGTGGGGGAGTGTGATGTCTTAGGAATTAAAGCAATAATCGTGTGATTAATTTGCTTTAAAATCCTACCAGAATCAAAGAAACCTCTCACAGCATCAATGACATCATCCCCAACCACCGACCATTTTTCCTTGAAAAAGGCAGAAGTAAATCCATCTGGTCCCGGGGCCTTGTCATCCCCAATGTCAAACAAGGCATTCTTAATCTCTATGTCTAAGATGGGAGAGAGCAGCCCTAAGGACTGGTCCCTACTTAGACATGTCCCGGATGTAATAATGCTAGGGTCAATTGGAGGACAACTTACCGGAGTTCCAAACAGATTAACATAAAAATTTTCAAGCTCCTTAGCAACCTGATCTATAGAGGTAGTAAGCTCCCCATTAGGTAGTTTTAAAGCCGTAATGGAGTTCTTAGCAGCCCTCTTTTTCACAATTGAATGGAAATATTTGGTACACCTATCACCTTGAAACAAATGAGTGGCCTTCGCTTTTTGCCTAAAGAAAGCATCCTCGGCCTTTTTAAGAAAGAGCACTCTCTTCTTAGCAAGTTGAACATCAATCTTTAAGGTATCATCGAGAGGAGAGGTTAAGAGAAGGTTATGCACCCTCTTAAACTCAATTTTCGATTCCTTTACCTTAGAAGAAATATGTCCAAAAGCAACCTTATTAAGTTCCTTGAGTGGTTTTTTAAGAGCTTGAAGTTTTTTAACCAATCTAAATTGAGCATTACCCATCACAAACTTAAACCAAATGTCATGAAGAATAGAAGGGAAAGATTCATGCTTAAGCCACATATTGAAAAATTTGAAAGGTTTTGACCCCATGGATGGGTTATGGCCGAAAGTAACCAAAGGGGCAACATGGTCAAACTCAGCCTCCATGGAATGGAAATGAGTCTTACATGTGATGCCAAAAGCACTCCAAGCCGAATTCATCAAAACCCTATCCAACTTTGCCCAAAGTGAACCCCTATACCAAGTAAAGAACTCCCCGGTAGAGGGGGTGTCCACCAAGTTTGCATTAAGCTTAAAGTCAATAAGGTCCTGCATTAGGTATGCCGAGGGTGGGGTGGGACCAATCCTTTCATTAGGGGAGCACACACAATTGAAATCCCCCATTACTAGCCAAGGACTAACAATGTTTGACCCCAAGTCGGTAATATGCTCCCAAAGGGTTCTTCTTTCCCCCACCGTGTACAAGGCATATACAAATGTAACCAAGAAATTCAGTTGGGTGGTCTTACATAAACATTTACAATGGATGTGTTGTTTTCCAATTTCAAGCACATCAATGTCAATAAAATTAGAATTCCACACAAGGGCCATACGGCCACCATCAATAACATCAAAATTAGTAATGGAAGACCAATGGGGGCATCTAAACATCCTAAATTTCTCAAAATTAGAAGGAGTCAACTTAGTTTCAAGCAAACAACACATATGTACATTATGAACACGAAGGAAATTAAAG